CTGGCTCTGTCGGTCTCCTCAGCCCTGCGGCCCCGGCCTGAGCTGCAGTCCCTCTCAGAGCTGCGCTTGGGCCACTGTGGCCACATGCGCCGCAGTGAGAGCACCTACACCATAAATAGTACTGGCCGACTCAGGGGCGGCACCCAGAGTCAGGCCCCACCTGGACGCAGACGGGATCTAGGCAGGGGCACCCTGCGGTCTGCTTCCTCCCTGCCTCACATTGCTAAGACTCAAAAGTCCGGAGGCCGTGGTGCCAGCAAGAGCCCCTGCCTGTTGATGGCCCTGCGGCCAACCAACATGGACAGTGAGCGGGACAAGTTCTTCCAGTCCCGTTACACCTACAACCCACAGTTCGAGTACCAGGAGCCCATGCCGACGGCTGTGCTGGAGAAGTACTGTGAGGCCTCTGGACAGTTCATCCATCAGGTCAGTCTAGCCTGCCCACCTCACCCTGGCCCTGACCACCCCAGAGGCCTGGCCTGACCACCCACTTGGGCCCTGTGTGCAGGCAGTTGGCATCATTGAGGCTGTCCTGGAGAAGTTTGGCACCTACGAACACTTTGAGGCTGCGACTGGGGGCCAGCTGCTGACCAAGTGCCAGATCTGGTCTATTGTGCGCAAATACATGCAGAAGGAGGGCTGTGTTGGGGAGGTGAGCTTGCTCTGCCTTCGAGCACCCTCTTCTACCTGACCCAAACTGGCCTGACTGGTGGGTGGTGCCAGGCCCAGCTCCACACCTGGCCAGCTACAGACCCCTGGCAAGCCCCTGTCCCTGCCCTAGTAAGGTGGGAACTGGCTCTGAGCAGAGATGGCGAAGGGCAGGTGTCCTGGCCAAGTGTCCAGCCTGGATGCCCTGTGGCATTATTAGTGGGTTATTAGTGGGTCCACCTGCACACTGGCCCCAGGGCTGGTGGCCATGGCTCGAGCACTGCTGCCGCCTGCAGGTTGTGGTGCAGCTGAGTGAAGACCTGCTGTCCCAGGCAGTGATGATGGTGGAGAACAGCCGACCAACACTGGCCATCAACCTGACCGGAGCCCGCCAGTATTGGCTGGAAGGCATGCTGCGGCACGAGATAGGTCAGGGTGTGGGTAGGTGGGTGGGCAGGTAGGGATGAGACGGGGCTGGGAGGTGGGGAGGACAATGAGGGGCCCCAGAAACCCCACCCCGCTCTTTCTCCCACTTACCTTTGAGGCTAGGGCCCTTTCCTTTCATGAGTAGTCACCTCCTCCCTCTGGCTCAGGGAGGTAGACCCCGAACATGCCTGCCCCTCTCTGGGTTCATCCTCATCTCTCACTCCTCTTGGGTATCTTTTCCTCCCTCCACTTCCTCTCTGGTTTCCCTGGGCAGTGGGGACAGGCTGTTGGGGCCTGGACAGGCCAGAGGGAAAACACTGAGGGTCTCGCTAGCCAGCCAACATGCAGGCCCTCCAGGGTGGGAATGGAATTGGCTGAGGACACACAGAGCCAGGTATAGGAGGCGGGTAGGCCAGGCTGGAAGGAAAGCAGGGGACACAAACTGCTATTCTTTTCTGCCTGTCCCTCCTCATCTAGAATTCTGTTGCCCTGGGTAAACGTTGGTTTTTGCTAGGGACATCAGCGGGACTGTCCAAACAATAGGGCTTGCAAGATGTGGGGCTGGGATGGTGTGTGAATTCCTGTCCTCTCCAGGGGGCTGGGAAGCAGTGTGAGTTTGGGAGAGGTGTGTGTGTGTGTGTAGTCCTGGATGGGTGGAGGAGGACTCCTGCATGTGAGACTCTATGGGTCCTTGGGTGCGGGTGCCCCTGAGGTTGGATGAGTCTGTAAGTTGGGACAAGGGGTGGCAGGGAGAGGCTATGGGAGAGCCTGAGTTTAGGGGCATGAGGATACCCGCATGAGTACAAGTTAGAGGCCTGGCAGGAGGGTTCCGGGATGACCCGCCCAGCACTGCCTCCCTTGCCCTCCCCCAGGCACCCACTACCTGCGAGGCGTGAACAATGCCCGGCAGCCCTGGCACAGCGCCGAGGGCCGGCTGCAATACAGGTTGCGGCCAGCGAACCCCACCGAGGAGGGCCTGGCCAGCCTGCACAGCGTGCTGTTCCGCAAGCAGCCCTTCCTGTGGCGGGCGGCGCTGCTCTACTACACCATCTACCGAGCAGCGCACTTGTCTTTCCGCCAGCTCTTCCAGGACCTGGCGCGCTACGTGCAGGACACAGACGTGCGCTGGGAGTACTGCGTGCGTGCCAAACGCGGCCAGACCGACACCTCGCTGCCAGGTGGGTACCCATTTGAGGAGTACCCTGAGCTGGGGCAGGGGCGGGGGTGGCTTCGGGTGTAGAGGCTCATGGCCCTCTCATGCCCACAGGATGCTTCAGCAAAGACCAGGTGTACCTGGATGGCATCGTGCGCATTCTGCGACACCGCCAGACCATCGATTTCCCGCTGCTGGCCTCGCTGGGCAAGGTGAGTGGCCACAGGCCTGCAGAGGTTCCAGCCAGCTCTCCTCATCCCAGTGTTCCCTGAGCCTCTGATGGGTGCTTGACTGAAGACTGGTGCCAGGCCTCTCTGGTAGGTGGAGGTGAGCACAGGAGGTGAAATGACAGCCTGGCAGGTGCTTGACCCAGCCTGCAGGTGTGTGTGTGTGGAGATACTGCATCACTCCAGACCAAAGGAGCAGTCGGGAAGGCTGGAGGTGGAGGCTGGAGAAATGGCCAGGGACCAAGTCCCTAGCACTGGGTATCTGTGCCAAGCTGAGAAAGGTAAACTGCATCTGAAGCAATAGGGACTCAGAGGAGCTTTAAGCAAGTTGTGGCTGGATGTCAGATGGGAGGTGGATTGAGAGAGAGAGAGACCTAGGAAAGGGAATGGGGGGAGGGAGGCCTTTCTAATCACTCCTGCAGAACTGATGGTGTCTGGCCTAACCCAGCAGTGGCCATGCAGTTGGAGAGGGAGGGGCAGGCTTCAGAGAGCCTCTTGGGAGCTCTTCAGAGAGTGGCGGGGTCCGGGCTCAGTGGCCACCCTGAGTGGGAGGGTGACAGGTCCCAGCCCCCTCCCTGGAATCTGACCTAGAGGGCTATCAGGAGAGTGCCTGGCATAATCTGACACCTAAGAATTCCGTGTTGGCTAGGGGGAGTCTGAGGTACCTGTGGGCTGTCTAGGAGAAAGTGTTCAAAGGCAATTGGGGGAGCTAGGCTAGAGACAGGAGTGGGGTTGTAGGGCATAGATGATAAAAGAAGGTGTTAAGAGAAAGAGCAAACACCCAGGACGGTGCCTGGGAATACATCACATTGGGAATGGGTCAGGAGGAGACAGGGAGGAGTTCCAGGAGCACGGGGCAATAAACCATTGATAGAGAGCTGGGACCAGCCACCTGAAAGCCAGGGCCTCTGCCTGCCCCTCAGCCCAGCTTCCTCCCTGCAGGTGTCCTATGAGGATGTAGATTACCTGCGGCCCTATGGGGTGCTGAACAATGCTCGCGTGCCCCACTTCATGCAGGACCTGGAGCGCTACCGGCAGCAGCTGGAGCACATCATGGCCACCAACCGGTTGGACGAAGCAGAGCTGGGCCGCCTGCTGCCTAACTGATACTGGTTGAGGGCTCTAGACCATCCCCCTGAAGAGGAAGAGGGCTGCTCTGTGCTTCCAAAGCTGGGTGTTTCTTGGGGAAGCGGAGGGGACAGGAGCATTTCAGGAGGGAGGAGTGTGTTCCCTGCTAGCCTCCCTGGACCTGGTGGCCAGCAGCAGCATGTTGAGCAAACAGTGTGGCCTCCTGCCTCTGTCTGTTGAGCAGAGGGGAAGCCTGGGGGCAGCAGGGAAGCTGAGCATGGATGGGGATGGGGGATGGTTTGGGAGTAGAAACTTGTTCTTGCATGAGATGACTTTGGGTATCTGCGTACTCCAGTCTCCCTTCCCCCACCCGGCCCCTTGGTGCTCCTTCAGCTTTCACGCTGTCTACCTCTCACTGGGCCCTGGTGGGGGTCTCCCTTCTTTTGGGGTGATTACCTGAGCCTGGGGTCCTGGCTTTCACACAGACTCAAGGGACAAGGGTCCTAGTAGGTAGAGACCCAGCTGGGCTGGGATGTGCTTTCCAGCATTTTGCCTCTCCCACTGCATGTATTTATTCCCTATTTATGTGCTCTCCTTCCTGGGGCTGGAGGCAGCAGCTTCTGAAGGTTCAGGGACAGGCTCCTCTGGAAGGCACCCACTGTTCTTAGCCCCCATCTCAGCACACGTGCGCGCGCGCGCGCACACACACACAGTCCTTCAGGCCTTGTGAGCTGAGCCCGAGAGTTCACCAGGCCCTGCCCCTACCCCCACCCCCTCCTCAGGCCTCTGTTGTCCTTGTCTTTGTCCACACCCTCACAGCTGGTCTCTGACAGAGGTTGGCATAGCCTGGCAGCAGCCATAATCAAGTCTGAGGGGCAGACACCTACCTGTCCCAAATCCTGAGCCCCCCCTGGACCAGGAGAGGTGCAGAGATGGTTGTTGCTTCCAGTTTCACCTCAGACTCGCTGTCTGAGGTTGACCCAGGCCCACGCCCACCCTTGGCCTTAGTTTTCTCATCTGTAAAATTTGGAAATGCAGCTGGAAAGCCCTTATTCATTTAGTCAGTGAAATGCACTGAACGCCGTTTGTGTGCCAGTCACTGGTCAAGCCCTCACTGAGCTCCCCGTCCTGAGAGGAGCCAGACAATTAAAACAACAGTTACAATAAGCTGTGTGGTCTTTGTCTACCCAAGATGCCTTCCTCTTCCTCTTAATCCCAGGGCCCTCAGCTCTAGCCCTCCCTACCTGGAGAGAAGTTCCCCTCCCCTGGCTTTCCATCCCAGGCCCAAGGGTTTCCATGGAATAGGGCTGGCGACAACACCTGCCCACTGGTTCAGGAAGATAAAAGGGCCCAAGTCTGGCCCTTGTGTCATTGGACCCCTGGATCTGGGATCTCTAGGGTGCAGCCCGAGCCATTGATGTAATGAGGCTGAGGACTGGGTGGTGGGCACAGGGCTACTCAGGTCACTGACTCAGAGCACAGGTCCATCTCTTTATTCCTGGGCAAGGGGCCGGAATCACCGAGAGCCAGATCCACCCTCCACAGTTTATTCACTCCAGCGAATCCTGGGCCAGGTGGAGCCTGGGTGGGAATCCAACCCAGCCAGGCCGGGATCCCAGGTTCCACTGGGCTTGGATGGGGAGTAGCCAGTCAGGGCGCCGGCCCTCAGGAATCTAGAAATGAAGGGGGACAGTGGTTGTTCAGGTGGGGCCCGCCCACTGCCCCCGGGGCCACAACCTCCCGCAAACCTGGCACCGGGTTTGGGCAGCCTAACACCTTCAGACGCATCCTCTGCCTCGTAGTCTGGCTCCGGCTCCGGCTCCGGCTCCGGCTCCGGGTCGGGCTCTGGCTCCGGGTCGGGCTCTGGCTCCTGGACCGGCTCTGGCTCAGGTTCTGGCTCTGGCTCAGGTTCTGGCTCTGGCTCCTGGTCCGGCTCCAGTTCAGGTTCTGGTTCCAGTTCAGGTTCTGGTTCTGCCTCTGGCTCCGGATCCGTTTGCGATTCCAACTCGGATTCAGGCCCTTCAGAGGCCTCAGCTTCTAACTCTATCTGGGGCCCCTCGATGGTTCCGGATTGCACTGCCTCGGAGCTCTCAGAACCCCCCGCCTCCTCACTGTGTGAAGGTCTGGGCAGACCAGGGCATGGGGTCCCCGAGCCGGCTGCCTCCGGTGTCCAGTGGCCTGGGCAAGGACGGTCGTAGCTGCGATCCCGATAGCCTGGGGTGGAGGTGGGAGAGTCTCGGGCTCAGTTTACCCCTTCGCGGTTTCCTCCGCATACGCCCACCGCTGGGGGAGACTAGAACTCCGCCCTCGGCCCGCCCCGCTCTGACTTAGGCTCCGCCCCGCGCGCGCTCACCGGGGCCCACGTGCTGCCAGTCCCAGGCGGGGTCCGGCGCGCGCGCGGTGCGCTGGGCGCAGCGCAGCAGCTCCTGGCAGGCGGCCTCGCCCTTGCTCTGCACCATCAGCAGCAGGCGGCGCACCCGGCGTTCGGCATCAGGCAGCGCGTCCAACGCCTCGTACTCCGGCCCGGTGAGCACGCCCCGCGCCAGCAGCGCATCCAGCAGCAGCCCGGAGTCCGCCTGCAGCGTCTCTACCAGGCGTTTCCGTTCGCGGTCGATCGTCTCTGACGGTCTCTCCTGCGAGTTGCCCATTCTGGGGGGTACCTGGGGAGGGGTAGAGAGGAACTGGGGGCCAGGGCTTCCCCGCCCTTGACCTCTCTCCCAGGGCTCCAGTGAACACCGGTGCCTGGGGTCTAAGTTCACCTTAACCTCGGCGGCAGGACAGGCCGCAGCACCGACTCTGTACTCCAGCCTCTCGGGCCGGTTCAGTGCTGTCTCCTCCTCCGGCGTCTCCTTGGGTCCCTCAACATCAGGTGTGGCCCTCCCCTCCTCAGCTCTCCCAGGACCTTGACTTTCTGACCGCTCTCCCCAGCCAGGACCTCCCTCCTGAGCCCCAGCTGCCTGCAGATACTGCCATTTGTTCAGACCCAGTTTATCCAAACGAACTTCTCTTTCCCAAACCCGCTTCCGCGCCTTAACAGGCAAAGATCCCACACCCAGCTTGCAAGTCCTTTCCCGTCTATCTGCTACTCCCATAGCCAGCGGTTCTCAACCTGTGGGTCGCGACACCTTTGGGGGTGAAACGACCCTTTCACAGGGGTCGCCTAAGACCATCGGAAAACACATCTATAATTACATATTGTTTTTGTGATTAATCACTGTGCTGTAATTATGTTCAATTTGTAACAATGAAAATACATCCTGCATATCCGATATTTACATTATGATTCATAACAGTAGCAAAATTACAGTTATGAAGTAGCAACGAAAATAATTTTATGGTTGGGGGTCACCACAACATGAGGAACTGTATTAAAGGGTCGCGGCATTAGGAAGGTTGAGAACCACTGGTTTCACCTCCAGCCTAGACCCTCAGAGTCTTGACTCCCCTGCTCACCTAGAGCACAGTGCTGAGATCCTCCCCTGCTCCTCTCACCCACCGGAGAATGGAGAATGACTACACCCCTTTTCCTGACTCCGAGATCCATCTTTCAGGGCAGGGCCTGCCCCTTACCCTCTCACCAAGGCCACTACCATGTTGCAACCCCAATGTTGTCTCATGGCCCTTCCTGGTTCCCTAATCCCTGAGCAGAGATACCTGAATTCTCTTCAATCCTAGCTCTGACCAAGATCTCCCGGCATCACCTGCGACCCAGCTGTCTCCCTGCTGCGCTGGGAATGACTCACAGCCATCTCTTGCTTCATCTTGAAGTACCCAGGGCCAAACTCAAAAAAGCTACCAACCATTTATTTTTAAATGCTTGCTGAACTTTTACTGTTTTCCTCCATGCATCACATGAGAGATGGTCTCTACCAGACAGCAGGTGTCAGGCAGAAATGAATCTGCTGTGTCTACTTATTGACATCTGAGGACAATGGCCCATCCCTCTTGAATGGCCTGACCCAGCAGCCAGGCCCCTGGCCTTAAGAGGCACAGAGGTCAGGCCCTGGACCACTCCCTCTCAGCCTATTTCCTCCCGCCTTAGTTTTGTCCGCACAGCACCCTCCTGGTCTCATCCTCCCTTTGGGTCCCCTCCTCTACCTCCTTACCAGGTCCTAGGTCTGGGAGAGCAGATTTGGTCCCAGCCCCCTCCGGCCTCCCAGGTCTCTCTCTCATGACCACCTGGTGTCATGCTATGCCTCCCTGGTCATATTGAAGCGCCAACCCTTCCCCCAGGTAACTGGTCAGAGACTAGGACCACTGCCCTTTACTCCTCCTTCTCCATTCATGCCCACCTGTGACAAATGCTGCTATCCCACCTCTCAGCGAGTCTCTATCAGCACCCCCTCAACCCCACCATCCTCACCTCATCTCCTTTGACAGTCTCTCTGAGTGCCTCTCCCATCTCATCACCCCCACAGCACAGAGATGGTCAGCAGCTCTCTGGGGCAGGATTTATTGTCCCCATTTTACAGATGAGAAGACAGGATCAGAGAGACCAAGGGACAGAACTGCCATCTGACTTGCTCCAACCTGAATTACAATGAGGCCTCCTGCCCAGCAGAATGTCAGCCCTAACTACCTGGCCCCTGCTCCCCACTGCCCATCAGAGAGAATTCAGACTCTATCTGGCCTGGCCACTCTCCCACCTCCTGGACAGCGAAGCTTCCCCCCACTTTCCCCAACCCTCAGTGCTGGGAGAATCAAGCCCCTGACATCTCTGAACCTTAGTAGATCCTATTCCTTAAGCCTGAACTACCCTTCCCCTCCCTCCAAGCTGTGGACCCATCCTCCAAGTCTCAAATAAATGTCACCTCGTCCATGCCAATGCCTGAGTGTGTTATAGGCGGACTGGTTTCATCTCTTCTGCTGTGTACCCCAGTGAACGGTGTATGCCCTCAGCACGCCGCTGGCTGACATCTCTGCACACAGACCCCTACCCTCTTTAGCCGAGGTTTCCAAAGACTGGCCTCCAGGTGCAAGAAGGGAGAGGGCCAGAACCTACGCTTGTACAGGCGCAGAGGGAGGAGGCAGATCGGACTAGCCCCTCATTCTCCCTCGCTCCTAACCAAGTTATTTTTATGTTAGCCTTCTCCTCCCATTGCCAAGCCCTGTCCTTGGAGGCCCGCCCTCTGAGACTCAAACAAAACTCAGAAGTAAATACTGTACCGAAGTTATGTGCGGCCCGTCCTTCAAGGATCACGGCTCGGTCCTTCCCGGGCACCAGGCGGCTCCAATTCCAGGCCTGGAGGTGTTTGAGGGGCGGGGGTCTCGGCTCCCCTCCCCACCGGGCTCCGCGGGCTCTTTTGCTCGGGAGCGGGAGTTGTGGGAAACTGCGGGAGCTTTTGGCAGGTGCGACCACAGTCTCGCCTTACCTCCCCTCCACCGGGTCCCAGGGTTAGGGTCTCGCCGAGGGGCGGGGCTCAGACCTGGGAGCTCTGCCCGCGGGGGCTCGGATTCTACGCGATCTCAGTATTTCTCCCTCCCGCCCCCCAGGGGCTGCGTGCGGCCCCACTCAC